ATTTGTAATAAGATACATAATGCGGTTATAATAAAATATTGTGCGATTATTTTCATATAATTAAAATTAATATTTATTTATTTTTTAGAGAATACGAGGGAAGCGGCGCTTCCAACGCTTCTAATGACGGCACGCCACTGGGAATAATACAATTTCATGTGCGCCGTCCTGCGGGGTGTCGAACTGTCGAGTGACGTAATATAGAGACTACTGTACTCAATACTGTCGCTATATAATGTGTATAATCAAGGAAAGGTATCATTAATCTGTCAATAAATCTGTATTTATACTCTACTTTTGATGATGCTATCTTATAAACTACCAAAATATGTAGTCTCAATATGAATGTCATAAAAATGTAATTTCACATGTCAAAATACAAAAAGTCCACGAGTGACCGAGTGGATAAAACCACTAAACACTAGTAGTTAGCCATAGGTTTGCGCCTTGCCAACGGGATGGCCACATGGCTTTCCGAGTTTTCTTTACGTTTGTAACATTTAAATGGGTACCAGTTTCCCTTAGAAAGTCCTCACGAGAGGAATCCCCCCTCGGCAAATCGCCCACGTCTCGCATTACTGTAAACAAATATACCAAAACTATGACAGAGTCAATGGATTATCTGGTCTCTGAATATCTATTGTTCTCGTCCTTTAAATTAGAGGTAATAAACAAGTTTTCCGATAGGTGTGTACTGCAATTGTCTGGGCTCTTGGTTTGTTTATATCTTATGCAGAAAAGCAGTGTAAAATAAATGTTATAATATCCGTAATTGCAAAAGCAACTGTTTTTTATAGAGCTAATCTTCCTATTAATATTCTTATTTAATACAAGTTAATTTAAAATAAATGAATAAAAACTAATAATACATTAAATGCATAAAAATTAGTTTTACATAAACTTTTGTATAGCAAAGGTTATGTTTAAAAAGCGACACATAAATTCAGTTTATCTAAATAATTTCGAATCTAACAAAATTTTATGAAATTATGCCAGTCAAGTAAATAATACGCATCAAAAAACCAGCTATTTAAATTACTTGTAAAGGTTTTAAATTATTAAGTTCATATTGATTTCAAATCATTTATTAAAAAAAAGTTCAGACGTTTAAAAATGAACATTTTATTATCATTATCTAGCAACATTATTATTGTACAGTAAATTATTAACATCTATAAAAGTTTTGAAACATTTTAAGCATTGTTATGTATATGTTACTGTGAATGACCGATATTTGGCGAATGTCAACATTCTCGGTGAACGTTAGCATTCACACAGTCGTTTCGTGTGTGTACGAAATATTTGCTAAATATCATTATTTCTCACTTACACCGGCCAAATGTCGGCATTCAGCATGCACTGATGGTGAATGTTGAATAAAAATATTTTTATTAGGTTAAGACAAAAATGCAATTTTTTAATATGCCAAAATAGGAGAAAGTTTAAGTAACAGCACATTCTAAATCATTAAGTTTCCTGGTAACAATTAAATCTGCATGTGGCGTCATCTGTTATGATATTTTATTTAAACATTTTTTAATAATTTTAATTATTATAAAATGGCAAAATGCTTAATTTTGAAACTATGGATGGATTTTATTTTTAAAAAGTTGTAAATGTTAATAACGAATAAAATTGACTGCAGTGCAGTGAATCAAGTGCAGTAAAATCGCCATTATAGAATATAGAAAAATCCCCACACACACCTTAACATCCATAGATATAGAGAAACCCTGGACCTGTCAAGGACCCTGAATCCAAAAAGGTGAAAATTTTGGGGGGATTATTTTTTGACTGATTGCCATAATTTCCCTCTGTTAAATACAACAGAGCCGGGAAAATAAAAATTATACAGATTAACGTAAATTGATAGCAATCGAAAACTCGATTGACATGTAGCGCGCGACCATCTTATAACCGGCAATCCGTAGACATGGCAAATTTTGACTTTGAATATCTCACTGTAGATTGAATTGTAAAATTTCGGTTTTATCACGACATCGGCCTTGCAGAATTGTGCATATTTGCAAAAATCATGTTTAGTGATCGTGTGGTTTCTTTAAACTTCGATCACAGACAAAGCACTTTCTGATCTTATGCTGCACTCAATAAACTGTGGCACTATCTTCGCATGATGGTTTATCGTTTATAAACAGCCTAATGACCGAGCGGTTAAGGTGGCAGCCTATCCTTATGGAACCTTGGCTCGAATCCAGACGGGTTGAAAAACCACAGGACTTTTTCAAGTAGTGATACGTCGGTCGCCAGTTGTGAGCCTAACCGTAAACCCATAATGCTAAAAATGTCCTCTTAGTAACAACAGGACGAAAAGAACATTTTAAAAAGTGTGCTATAAGTCCAAAAAGGTGTACCAGATAAAAGTAAATACAGTGCTGGACAAAAGTATAGGGTCATCATAAAAAGTGTGATAATTTATTAAAATAGGAAAGTAAAAATAATAAAAAAGTAACTATTAGAATCAATGGTACTGGAAAATACACGTGTAATAGAGATTGTAAAAAAAGTATAAGATTTGTTGTAATTTTTTGTTATTCAAGTCAACAAACATTTTGGACAAAATTATAAGGTCGAAACAGAAGTATACCAAATTTCTTCGCAAAGTACTAATTAATGCATTAGAAATCAATCACATCTTTCTTAAGTAGCACTTGCAGTAATCTGTCCGTCAATGGATTTTAACAAATTTTTGTCCAAGTTCTCTTATGAAGTCTGTAGAGCGTTTGTTTTTGTTCTTCCTTTGTGTCGAATTAACGACATCCATTTTCATAAATGTTGCATGACAACAAGTCCCACAGCTTTTCCATAGAATGTACAGTACGTTCGGACTATGTGCTAACTAGTTCAGAACAGTAACATTATTGGCTAAAACCCACTCCTTGGTTCTTGCGAATCAATGGCACGGAGCGTTATCCTATTGAAAAATCCAATTCGCCGGACATACACAACAGTGATTATGTTAGCAAATTTTTTCCGCAAGCATATCCTGATGTTATGAAGTTCGTATAGAAATCCTCACAATTGGTAGAACACCAACAGCAGCAAATGCACCCCAGACCCATCTTCAAACTGATGATTTGAGAAATATTGTTTGTTGTTAGGAATATGATGTCAGTAGGAAGTCATCTGGTCCATCAAAGTTAAACTTCTCGTCTGAGAAGAAAACATTGTTCCATTTCTCATCAAAGGTTACATGCTGACCAGCAAATGACACACGTACTTTTTCTGGACCGTAGTTAAAGGAAGATAACTTTTAAATTTTGCGAAGCGCAATGTATTTGTTGGTAGTTAAGACTGACTATTCTGGAGGTACTGTACAGTACATGAAAGATCCAAATGCGCCACTATATTCGAAGAGGAGCATTTGTTATAACGTGCAATAGACGCCGCTTGGTTTTTCTGGCGATAGATTAACGTTGGTGGTCTTCCTGACTGCTATCTTGTTCCTTAGTTAGCTAGATTTTATAGGACGGCAATTACAATTGTCTTCGAACGGCTATAGCAGCAAAAATTTGTGCTCCCGTTTTACTGCATTGCTTCATTCCCATAATTTTACCTCTTTTGAATTCACACGATTGTATCCCTTTTGGCATATTTATTGCTATCTGTTTGTTACTGTACTGAGTGATAATTGACATTACTTAAATCTGGTTTATAAAGTTAGAGATTATGAAAATTGTTTCTTGATTTTATTATTGTTACATTACGAATCGCGAAAACATAGTGTTGACCTTATACTTTTATTCGAAATGCTGTATATTGAACGAGCAATTATTTATCGTGACATGGTCACAATGACCTGCAATTCTTAATCATATTTTTAATTTCTTTCGTTTAAAATATATGCTCTCAACCTCAAATTAGTACTGTAGTCTCTTGTCCCTGTACACCATACAAACATAGTAAATATAACAAATCATTACGCTTTTTACAACTTTATACTTTTGTCCGGCACTGTATATATTAAACCCTTGGGTCTTATTCATAAAGAACGTTTTGTAATTCATACTGTAGAATTGATACGTTGTAATTTTAAAATTTTATATTTTAATTCAAACAAAATTAATCGCTGTTGAGACTTTTGCATAATAATTGCTTAAAATTGCTTTTAATAGTCTAAAGAAGAAGTTTCGTAGTAATTGGAAAATTTTAGTAGCCAAATCAACCAAAAATTATACAAATCATTCATTATATAATTATACAGTATACGACGGAAAGCCGAGGTGTTAGAAGCCCAGACCAAATTGCTCAAGGGACCCGGAAACGAATCTCAACAAAGCATTAGAATTTTGCATAAGCTATTTGGGCCAGATATGTCGGGTTCCATCTCTTAGCATTCAGCAACCCCTTTGTAGGTCTAGGTTACCTCATAATGGCTATGATTCTAAGCCTTTTTTAGTACTTATAGGACAGAAAGTGTAATAATAAAAAACGAATACAATATACACATGAAATTTTTTGAATACAGTAATAAAAATAAACTTTTTTTATTTTATATAACTTTTATTACATTAATAAAATATTGTTTTAATGAAAATTGAAATTAGAATAACAATACTTTATTATTATTTGAAATTATAGAGTAAAACAATTGAAAATGGCAAGTATATGCGAAGTGTGATGTTAACAGTTAACAGAAGTGACGTCATGGATGTCGTTACTTCTTTCTTTCAGATAATGCTGGTTTTCTTTCATTTGTAGATGTTAGGAGATTTATGTCTTTAAACTTGATTGAAAGTCTTATGACTAATGATATGATGTAATTTTAGCATTGACTTTAGTGTTTATCGTTTGATTTGTAATATGAAATATATAATTTTCTTTATCATCATTCATATTGTTGCATGTTCTCGTGAGGTTGTTGATGATCCCTCATCTAAACAAATCGAAAATAAAGTAAACAACCAAGAAGAATACGAAGAAGTAAGTTTCAAACATTATTTCATTAATCAAATAGAATAAAAACATAATCTGTTTTATATTTCATTTACATTTATTAAACATTATAGCACCCATAAATTTCTTTACATTATTAATTTTAGAATATAGTGTGAATTTTTATATTCTTTTTGATGTAAACATGCAGCTTGCAAACCAACATGTTTTGAGTATTCGGATTCTTAATACTTGTTATTCAATACATATTGGTGCAATATGTATTGAAGGTTAGAATGATAAAATAAGGGATATTAACAAAGATCTATTACTTTATCTATGCAGAAAATGTGAATCTGCAATGGTTGATGATTGATATGCATAACAGATAATATGTTGTAGAATAGAAATAAAACATGGCACTTTTACCTAGTTCTGAACCTTTGTTTTCATTAGTAAGCGAGAGAGAGAGAAAATTCAGAAACACTTGAAATTCTTATTAAGTTATATAAAAACCTATTGGAGGAATCTTCAACATACTTACAATCTGAGCACTTTTGGACTTTTGTGGTAAAATTGCAGCTATGAGTGAGATAGATGGGACCTTATCAGAGCTGCAGACCATGCCCACGGAAAAATATCAAAGGAATTGATAGTCTACATATTTGCGAGATATAGTGGTGGGTGAAACTTGTTAATTAAACAGTTGATAGGCTTAAAGGAGTGTGCGGCATGATCTCAATCATTCCCTGGAAGTAGTTTGTGCAATGGTGTTTCTTGTATTTTATGAGCTTTTAGCCATCTTTAGTAAAATGGAAAACAGCTGTTTTGACAAATAGTTATGCATTTTTTCACTTTTAAATTTTATTCTATTTTTGAAGGTCTTCAAAATTCCAGAATGGCTGTTTTCTGGAGGCTATATCTTGTGAAGTGTCACATGTAGACCATTGGTTCCTTTGACATTTTTTCATTCCTGTGAATGAAAAATTGGTCATGGTCTACAGTTCTGATAAGGTCCTAACAACCTTATTTAGAGTTATAATTTTAACTTGTTTGTGCCCCTGAAGGTAGAATTTGGTAGTCTGAAAGTGCTTAGGACGAGGAGTACATTAAAGACAATGATACTCTATCTCAAGATCACTCCAAAAATATAGGTTTTCAGTAGTAAAAAAGATAACATATGACTGCCTTTAAAATATATGTACCAAACTCCTGATTATCTGTGGTTTATTATGAATGCATTTTCAAAATATTATTGTAAAATGACAAAGAATCATAAGCAACATTTAGCTTTCCTTTCCTTTAAGGAACAGAAGTGATGTGAATCATTGACCCTGGAATATTATTTTGCAGCAGGCAAAGTTGGTGCTATAAATAGCAGATTTGAAAAAAATATTCTAGTAATCCTAAAATTAAAATACAATAATTTGGAAATAAGTAAAAGAATTATACATAGAAATGTAAAATTTAAGTTTCTAAATGATTTTGAAAATAGAAGAAATCTACATTTTGTTTATTGACTAGACATTTCAGCTTACAAAACTTGAGACACACCTGCAGCATGTTATAATGGAGTTGAGCTGTACAGTATATATACTGTAGTTCATTTAAAACCTCTAAATAGTTTTTTATAGTTTAGAGGGCTATTTTGGATTATCTGTGTTTTTGGTTTTCTATGTACACATATATGCTAATTAGCACAGATAATGAGTTTAGTGTATATGCCTACAGATGATTATTGCATCATGATTAGTTTAGCATATGGTCATATCACTTTATGACAAATTCCTCATAATGAAATAAGATTAGATGCAATAATAAACAATACACTCAACACCTATAAAATCCAACACAAATTTAATGTAATTTATTGATGAACAAACTTTCAACTACATTCGGTAGTCGTCATCAGGTTCTGGAATGGTCTAAAAAGAAATAGTAATTTGAATATAAAGATTTTAAAATTAGAATATGAATCTGATTGACAAGACTTGCAACATCACCACAGGTTTCTATGAAGGAAAAATCAATTACAAGACTTCAAAGAACAATCTCTATGCTTGATATAGAGTATTATTGTCTTTAAAATTTATGAATGTGTTTCTTTGAGTGTCTTTATATATTTCTAGTTTTTCTAAAGCTTTTGATATGTCTTGTCACTAATTTGATGAATGAAGTATGCATTGTCAAGTTGGATTTGTACTTTGTTGTTGGAAGAATTGCTGACAGTACTGTATCAAAATGACCTTTTTTGATAGCTGCCTCATGCTCCTTCAATAAATTATGTTAAATTTGTGCTGGATTTGTTAAGTGTTGAGAGTATTGCTACAGTTATAGATATTCAGCAACTTAAGTTTCAGAGTCATGGAGTATTTTTCTGCTCGGTACTCTTCCAAGTTATAATAAAAGCACCAATCTTTAGACTACTAGAAAGATATTTTACTTGACTAGATCTTTCAATCTAAAAATAGATTATCATCAGATTTACTTAATAACTAAAGTAGAACATACATATATTCAAATATATTGGAATAAATTAGAAATTTTAAATATTTAACATTAAATTGCTTTGTTGGTATCCATGTATATTTATGTAATTAATATAATTCATAGTTATTCTTAAGAACTTTAAGATTCATTCAACAAAGCAGTTTGGGTAATTTCCTAAGATTAAAGTTGGCGTTTTCTGTTGTACAGTATTTAAATGAACAGAACTTTTTAATTGAAACGATATACAGAAGTGTAAGCAAAGAAGGAAATGTCTGTGTAACATTTTGCCTTAGAAACTTCATGATAAACAATATTTTAGAAATGATAAAGGCAAAATCAATATAAAAACCAATGTGGGCTCTCACTGTCCAGACACATGAAAGCCTCTTAAAAATTGGTACTTCCATTAAATTTTATGCGCTAGAGCAAGTATGAGTGGTGTGCAGTGTTTTTAATCAATTGTTCCAGCTTTTGAGAGTTTAAATGTGGATATACATAATACCAGTAAGATATGGAAATTTTGAACTAAACACCAAATACATGACTTGTATACCAAGAAATTTGGAGGAAGGAATCATAGAATATTTATACTCATTAATAAAAATGTTATGCACTCGGATAGAATTTTCTGATTACTGCAGAATCCTGCATACAGCTATATCTCAGACAGGTGTGTAAATGATTTCAGTTGTGATCCAATCACATGCCAGGTATTGGCATTAATATCTTAAAATTGCTATCTCAGTATCCTATAAGAATGCTTGTAAAGGCTCATTGTATTCAGAATTTTTAGTGTACCCGTCTCTTAAAAATACCATATTTACTCACATATAAGACGAGGTTTTTATTCAATTTTTACTGCTTCAAAAACCTAGGTTGTCCTATATGTACGAACAAAGGATTCTTTGCCTTTTTGCAATATTTTTTTTCTCAACTATATACTGTATTTGCATTTTTTACTGGATGCTCACCCTCTGGTGTTTAAAAAAAACAAGTGGGCATGGTCTACAGTTCTGATAAGGTCCTAACAACCTTATTTAGAGTTATAATTTTAACTTGTTTATGCCCCTGAAGGTAGAATTTGGTAGTCTGAAAGTGCTTAGGATGAGGAGTACATTAAAGACAATGATACTCTATCTCAAGATCACTCCAAAAATATAGGTTTTCAGTAGTAAAAAAGATAACATATGACTGCCTTTAAAATATATGTACCAAACTCCTGATTATCTGTGGTTTATTATGAATGCATTTTCAAAATATTACTGTAAAATGACAACGAATCATAAGCAACATTTAGCTTTCCTTTCCTTTAAGGAACAGAAGTGATGTGAATCATTGACCCTGGAATATTATTTTGCAGCAGGCAAAGTTGGTGCTATAAATAGCAGATTTGAAAAAAATATTCTAGTAATCCTAAAATTAAAATACAATAATTTGGAAATAAGTAAAAGAATTATACATAGAAATGTAAAATTTAAGTTTCTAAATGATTTTGAAAATAGAAGAAATCTACATTTTGTTTATTGACTAGACATTTCAGCTTACAAAACTTGAGACACACCTGCAGCATGTTATAATGGAGTTGAGCTGTACAGTATATATACTGTAGTTCATTTAAAACCTCTAAATAGTTTTTTATAGTTTAGAGGGCTATTTTGGATTATCTGTGTTTTTGGTTTTCTATGTACACATATATGCTAATTAGCACAGATAATGAGTTTAGTGTATATGCCTACAGATGATTATTGCATCATGATTAGTTTAGCATATGGTCATATCACTTTATGACAAATTCCTCATAATGAAATAAGATTAGATGCAATAATAAACAATACACTCAACACCTATAAAATCCAACACAAATTTAATGTAATTTATTGATGAACAAACTTTCAACTACATTCGGTAGTCGTCATCAGGTTCTGGAATGGTCTAAAAAGAAATAGTAATTTGAATATAAAGATTTTAAAATTAGAATATGAATCTGATTGACAAGACTTGCAACATCACCACAGGTTTCTATGAAGGAAAAATCAATTACAAGACTTCAAAGAACAATCTCTATGCTTGATATAGAGTATTATTGTCTTTAAAATTTATGAATGTGTTTCTTTGAGTGTCTTTATATATTTCTAGTTTTTCTAAAGCTTTTGATATGTCTTGTCACTAATTTGATGAATGAAGTATGCATTGTCAAGTTGGATTTGTACTTTGTTGTTGGAAGAATTGCTGACAGTACTGTATCAAAATGACCTTTTTTGATAGCTGCCTCATGCTCCTTCAATAAATTATGTTAAATTTGTGCTGGATTTGTTAAGTGTTGAGAGTATTGCTACAGTTATAGATATTCAGCAACTTAAGTTTCAGAGTCATGGAGTATTTTTCTGCTCGGTACTCTTCCAAGTTATAATAAAAGCACCAGTCTTTAGACTACTAGAAAGATATTTTACTTGACTAGATCTTTCAATCTAAAAATAGATTATCATCAGATTTACTTAATAACTAAAGTAGAACATACATATATTCAAATATATTGGAATAAATTAGAAATTTTAAAT